AGCTAAGGCAGTTCTTAGTAATAAAAACAAAGCTAGGGGCATCAGCCTACCAGACTTTAGGCTGTATTACAAAGCCATAGTGGTTAAAACAGCATGGTACTGGCACAAAAATAGATACATAGACATTTGGAATCGAATAGAAAACCAGGAAATGAAACTAATATCTTACAGCCACCTAATCTTTGATAAACTAGACAAGAACTTACACTGGGGGAAAGAATCCCTATTCAATAAATGGTGCTGGGAGAACTGGATATCCACATGCAAAAGACTGAAACTGGATCCACACATTTCTCCACTCACAAAAAATTGATTCAAGATGGATAAAAGACCTAAATTTAAGGCATGAAATGATAAAAATCCTCAAAGAAAGCATAGGAAAAAAACACTTGATATCGGCCTGGGGAAAGACTTTATGAAGAAGACTTCTGTGGCAATTGCAACAACAACAAAAGTAAACAAATGGGACTTAATTAAACTGAAAAGCTTCTGTATAGCTAAGGAGACAACAACCAAAGCAAAAGCTTGGTAACTAGGATCTACAGAGAACTCAAATTAATCCACATGAAAAAAGCCAACAGTCCCATATATCAATGAGCAAGAGACATGAATACAACCTTCTCTAAAGAAGACAGACGGATGAGAAGGAAACATATGAAAAACTGTTCATCATCCCTAGTTATTAGAGAAATGCAAATCAAAACCACCCTGAGATATCATCTAATCCCTGCGAGAATGGCCAACATCACACAGTCTCAATACTGCAGATACTGGCATGGATGTGGAGAGAAAGGAACACTTTTACACTGCTGGTGGGACTGCAAACTAATACAACCCTTTTGGAAGGAAATATGGAGAACCCTCAAAAAACTCAAGTTAGACCTCCCATTTGATCCTGCAGTCCCATTACTGGGCATCTACCCAGAAGGAAAAAAATCCTTTTACCATAAGGACACTTGCACTAGACTGTTTATTGCAGCTCAATTTACAATTGCCAAAATGTGGAAGCAGCCTAAAAGCCCACCAACCCAGGAATGGATTAACAAGCTGTGGTATATGTATACCATGGGATACTATTCAGCTGTTAAAAAAGATGGAGACTTTACATCCTTCGTATTAACCTGGATGGAAGTGGAACACATTCTTAGTAAAGCATCACAAGAATGGAGAAGCATGAACCTTGTGTACTCAATTTTGATATGAGGAGAATTAATGACCTAGTACATGGTCATTAGGGGAAGGGGAGAGCAGAGAGAGGGAAGGAGAGACGGGAGTGGGAGAAGGAAGAGCAGAGAGAGGGAAGAAGGGAGGGGGTGAGGTTTCAGTGTTTGACACACCTTTTGGGGGCAAGACACAATTATAAGAGGGACTTTACCTAACAAATACAATCAGTGTAACCTGGTTTCTTGTACCTTCAGTGAATCCCCAACAATAAAAAAAAAGAAAGAAAAGAAAGATCAATATATATCAAATCTCAGCACCAAAATAATAATATAATAATAATAATAATCCTAGTGTCTGGACTCTTTGCAGGTCTGATTCTGTCTGTCCCCTCAACCACTACTGACTTTTGTTCATGCTGACTTGGTTTCTTTTTTTTTTTTTGAGACAGAGCCTCAAGCTGTCCCCCTGGGTAGAGTACCGTGGCACACAGCTCACAACAACCTCCAGCTCCTGGGCTCAAGTGAGTCTCCTGCCTCAGCCTCCCAAGTAACTGGGACCCCAGGCACCCGCCACAATGCCTGGCTATTTTTTGGTTGCAGCCATCATTGTTGTTTAGCAGGCCCAGGCTGGATTCGAACCCGCCACCTTAGGTTTATGTGGCTGGCGCCTTAGCCACTTGAGCCACAGGCGCTGAGCTGACTTGGTTTCTTAATATAGTTTGTGATTTATTAATTCAAGATTTTTTTTTTAACCATATGCTCATCAACTTAGGAACATTCTGAGAGGGCTGGTTTGAAGATACCTTTCTCTAGAAAGGACTAGTATTTGGTTTTAATGGGTGTCCGAGGCCATTGACGAGCCTAGCAATACTTCAGCCGAAGTCTCAGGCTGGAGGTTTTTTAGACCACACAAGTAGTTTTAGCTACCAACCCCTATTTGAGACAATTTGTGGTTATTAATTCTCTGGAGATGCATTTTTTTCCCTCTCCTTGCACCTAAGCCTAACGTAGACCGTATTCTTTGCATCTTGGAGATGAAAAGTATTCCTAGTTTCACCCTTTAAGCCTTTGGGAAATTCTTGCTTTATGCATCAGATCTTGTGTTCTGTTTCCTGTTTCAAATTGGCCCCCAGTTCTTTCTCTTTGCCTTCTTCACAGAGGTTTAAAAAATTTATACTTGATGGGCAGTTCTTGTGACTTAGTGGGTAGGAAGCCAGCCCCATATACCAAGGGTGGTGGGTTCAAACCCGGCACTGTCCAAATTGTAACCAAAAAAATAGCTGGGCGTCATGGTGGACACCTATAGTCCCAGCTACTTGGGAGGCTGAGGCAAGAGAATTGCCTAAGTCCAGGAGTTGGAGGTTGCTGTGAGCTGGGTGATGCCACGGCATTCTATAGAGGGTGATAAAATGAGACTCTAGCTCTAGCAAAAAAAAAAAAAAAAAAAAAAATTATACTTGAAAGTCTCTGGTTTGTTCAGAATCCTCAGTGTGAAAATCAGATTTTGTGTTCTGCTTATCTGCTTACTGTTTTTGGGTTCCAGCTTTCACTTGGCCCCTGGTAATTCTTTACTTTTTTGCTTGTCCTAGGATATATTTTAAATAATGTTAATACATTTTACCTAATATCTTAATTTTATTTCCACAGTAGTTTAAAGTTTAATCCACTTTACCATAAGAAATAGCAGTCTGTGATAAGCTTTTACAAGTTCAGCTTTGCTTTTTATTTTTTGATTGGTTTTTAAATTTTATTTTTTCTTCATTTTTAGTGCTTTAAGTTTTTTTTGTGTTTATGAGGAGATTTTATAGGTACCCATTCAGTTTTAGCAGTCTGTATTTCATATGTATTGTATTTCTTATAGACTGTTAGGGAATGACAGTCTATTTATTGACTCAACCAACAAATATTTAATAAGTGTCTACCTTGTGCCAGGCACTATTCAAGGAATGAAGATATAGAATTGAGCGAAATAGATGAAAATTCCTGCCTCCCAAAGAGCTTAGATTCTTGTAGGGAAGACATGGATATGTAGTACGTTATAGACAATGATAGTGCCAAAGAAATTAAGGCAGAGAAAGGAGCCTTGCATCTTTGGAGAGAATAGCTCAGCTCAGGAATATCTTACAGAGAAGATGACATTTTTGGTTTTTCTGTTATTTGTTTGTTTGTTTTTGGGGCAGAGTCTTACTCTGTTACCCTGAGTAGTGCCATGACATCTCCGTAGTTCATAGCAACTTCCAAACTCTTGGGCTTAAGTGATCTTCTTGCCTCACCCTCTTGAGTACCTGGGACTACAGGCACCCACCATTGTGCCTGCCCAGTTTTTCCATTTTTAGTAGAGATGAAGTCTTGCTCTTACTCAGGCTGGTCTCAAACTCTTGACCTCAAGGGCTACTCCCACCTCAGCCTCTCAAAAAGCTAGGATTACAGGCGTGAGCCGCCACGCCTGGCTGAAGATGACATTTTTAAAAGAAAAGAGGATATGAGTTATGAGTGCTCCTGAACAGAGAACTAGATGTTTTATAAATGGCTAAGAGAATAAGGAATAATAATTCTCCTTATTTTGTATGTATACTGCATCATAGTTTAATTTAACCTTTCTTCTCTCTTAAATCTCAGTTTTCTTTTTCTTCTTCTTAACCCAACTCTGGAGATTTCGTTCTCCAGCCAGAGAACTGACTCTATCATTTTGGGCAAGTTTCTTTTTTTCTTTGGCCAGGGCTGGGTTATGAACCCACCACCTCCGGCATATGGGGCCGATGCCCTACCCTTTTGAGCCACAGGTGCCGCCCGTTGGGCAAGTTTCTTAACCACTCTGTGTCTGTCTCCCCTTGTGTAAAAGTAGAATACCGCCTACTTCCCAGGATCGATAGATGAAACAACCTAACATTTGTAAAAGTGCCTGAATTTCATGTGTGCTCAATAAATGGTGATTTCTTTCTTCTTTTTATTTTTCCTTCCCTGTCCATACTCTTTTTATCCCTTTTTTTTTGATGCTTGTTGATAAATATGATTCTCGTGTGTATTGTAGACAGTTAACTAAAGGCAAATTAGGAGAATTTGAAAGTTTGATTTTTTTTTTAAAAGTACTTTTGAAAGTGGTTTTTAAAGGATAACTTGGTGCTCAAGGCTAAGAAGAATAAGCCAAACTGCATTTCCCCAGTATTTTTCATTGTATGGTGTTCAGGTTAGCAGCCCCAGTAAGTTTCTGTTTGTGTAAGTGACGGTCTGCACAATCTCCAGTTGCAGTCAAACTCAGAGCAAGGAGGGGCTGAGAGCGGGCACATACATATACAATTGAGTTTCTGCTATTATTTCTTAGCTCAAACTGGCTAAATTTGCAGTGTTCATTGGTCAGTTTTCGTGAGAATATTGGTGTGCCACTAATGGGGAGAAAGTTAAAGGATAAGGGTGAAATTCTCAGTGTAGTTTCTTTGACTCAAGAGCCCTGAGACCTTAGTTTTCCTACTTTATTTTTTTTGCAGTTTTTGGCCAGGGCTGGGCTTGAACCCGTCACCTGTGGTATATGGGGCTGGCGCCCTACTCCTTTGAGCCACAGGTGCTGCCCAGTTTTCCTACTTTTGACACTGACTCACCACAGTCCATCAGTTTTCCCTGTCTGTATCATGAATGCTGTTTCCTATACTGAATGACCTTGTCTTGTATGGCTATTGAGATTTCATAGGATCTGAGTGACATTAAAGTTTGAAAAGCACTAAAGATAAACCAAATTCAACTATTTATATTGCATGCTTTGGGTTTTGGTTTGTCCTCAGCCCTACCATTGACCATGCCCTGCTGGACGTGCCCTTCCTTGGACTCCCTACGAAGATGCCCTCTGACATCTGAGAGCAGCTGGACTACCCATTCTGAAGATACCAGCAGTCCTAGTTTTGGCCGTTCATACACAGACCTGCAGGGCATCAATGCTGAGGAGCAGACGAGTGGTCAGGCTTCTGGGGCTGACTCAACTGGTAAGATGGAGACCAAGCTAGAGGGCTTTGCAAATCACTTCTGGTGTTCCCAGGTCCTCCTTAATGCTCTCTTAAAATCCTTTCAGCCAGCTTTGTTTGCAGAATGAGTATAGGTGTAGACAGCAGTCAGAAAGCTACAATGGTTTGAAATTGCATTGGGATAAATGTGTAAGCAGATTGTTGATGGATTAGTAGATTATTCATACGGTGAAACCATTTGACAATGTATCTTAATGTGTTATTTTCTGACTGTTTGCTACAAATACCTTTCCTTGTCAATTTGTTTTTTTCTCCTGGGATTACTGAACTCTGTGTACTGTGCACAAGGCTGACTTTCTTCCTACCACCCACACACATCTTCCCTCTTCAACAAGAAGGCAGTAGCTTTAAGCAGAGAAAAAGTGAGTGTTCTTTGAAGCAGAATTTTGCAGTTCAGTGTTTATTCTGTTGAGCGATGCATCTGTCTGTAATGACCCAGGGCTGGTTTATTAAGCTTTCCAGTAGGCATAGGATGGAATGCTGGCTTTCTTTGCAGGTGGAATATGGCTAAATTTGCAGTGTTCATTGGTCAGTTTTCGTGAGAATATTGGTGTGTCACTAATGGGGAGAAAGTTAAAGGACAAGGGTGAAATTCTCAGTGCAGTTTCTTTGACTCAAGAGCCCTGAGACCTTAGTTTTCCT